CTAACAATTCCCGATATAGTGCAATTTAAGACAGGTGCAACTCGTAATAACTCCACCTACAGCTCTTTAAGGCTACTGCCGATCCCAATACCGGGTAAAGAAAGAGGGCTAGGAGTGAGATCGGCGGCCCCATCCCGTAGACAACAGCCTTACTAAAAAACACTATCCAGAATAAACTAACCAAACCATTTAAACTCTGCACTGGGAGTTGAAGGAAGAACTATGACGCCTCGTGATGACAGCCGAGATTCTTCAGAATTCATGAGACCGATGCCCCTTCTGACAACCAGAGCAACAATTTTTATGGGTGCACGGAACTTCCGGACAATTTGTGAAACCGGGTGGACCAGTCAAATTGCAATGAGGAGATATAACTTGGCGGTTCTCTAGATTAGTGAAACCCATTGGACCAAAGCTAGAAAGCAAAGGTTAGGTATGAGAGAAATGCTGCTGTACTCCGGCCACAAAGAGTTAAATGCTCCACACACTCAGGGCGTTGTTCTGTTGCTGTCCAAAGAAACACAGAATGCTTTTATAGGATGGAGATCTCATGGATCCAGGATCATCAAAGCATCCTTCAAAACAAAGAAAGAGGGAATTACAATGAATGTTATCCAATGTTATGCACTCACCAATGATAGCAGTGGCGTCGATAAAGATCAGTTCTACGATAGGCTGCAATCGATCATAACGAAGTGCCCAGGAAAGAGCTTGAAAATCCTGATGGAAGACCTAAACGCCAAAATCGGAATAGACAATATCGCTCATGGAGGTATCATGAGACGACATGGATAAGAAGGAAAAAACGAGAATGTCGAGAGATTTGTAAATTTATGCGCATTCAACAAATTGCTTATAGGCGGCACAATATTCCTACACAAATACATGCACAAAGTTACATTGACCTTGCCGGACCACACCATAGAGAACCAGATAGATTGTATTTGTATCAATAGAAAATTCAGCCGAACCAGTGAAGACGTGAAAGCCAGGAGAGGAGCTGACATAGCTTTATATCACCACCTGTTTGTGGCCAAGATTAAAATGAAGCTAAAGAAGCACTGGACAAATGACCAAACAGCACTGAAACGGTTCAATACAGCCTTCCTTTGACTTATTGAAAAACTCGACGAATTCAAGATAGCTCTCAACAAAATGTTCCAATCCTTAAAGAATCTACCGAAAATAGAGGAAACCACCATGAAAGACAAATTGAAAGGGATGATAAAAGCATTAACTTTAACTTGTCAGAAAGTTCTATGCTACAAAAAGCATCATCATGAAGAATGGGTCTCCATCGAAACCCTGGACAAGATTCGAGAAAGGGAAAGCAATAAGATAGCAGTTAAGAACAGACGAACAAGAGCAGAAAAAGTCAGGGCACAAGCTGAGTACACAGAAGCAAACAAGAAGATCATTAGAGCTGACAAGCAGAAATATGTTGGAAAGCTGGCACCGACAACGGAAAAAAGCTGCAAGAGAGAGAAATATCAGACAACTATATGAAAGGAAATATAGTAAACCAGAGAGATCGGGCAAGGACAAAGAAGGCAAGTCAATCACTGAGATTCGATGACAGGGGAATAGATGGGTGGAATACTTAGAGGAACTGTTGAATAGACCAGCTCCACTGAATCCATTGCATATCGAAGCAGCACCTATTGCCCTTCCTATAGATGTCACTCCATCAACGACCGAAGAAATCAGGATGGCCATCAGAAAACTCAAGAATGGGAAAGCAGCAGCATCTGACAGCATACCAGCCAAAACACTAAGTTTAGATATAGAGGTAACTGAAAAAATTTCCTCCACGCTCTATTAAGGAAGATTTAGGAGGAAGAACAAGTGGAACGGCAGAATGGAAAGAAGGAAACCTCATCAAGATATCAATGAAATGAGATCTGAGCAAATGTGAAGACTAGAGGTATCACACTACTATCGGTACTAGGAGGAACTTTCAAGTCGTGACATTACGGATCATCATTGAACAATCAGTTGAGTGAAACTCATCTCTATACATCGACTATTAGAAAGCATTTGATAGTGTGGATAGGAGAACCCTATGGAACCTTCTCCGGAATACAATGAGCATCTTGCATGTAACTATACGGTTTGTACTTCACAGATGACCTAGCTGTTCTATCCCATACATACTAACAAATTCAGTTCAATACAACTAGTGCAGCAGCCTTTGCAGAAGTAGGCCTCAACATATACAGGGTACGAACGTCAAGACTGTACTGAACTTAAAATTTGAGAACTACCACAACCATCATCAAAAATGTACAAGGATTTATATACAATTGTCTACGCAAGGTATTTAATGTCCGTCGTTCGAATACCGTCAGCAACACCCTACTGTGTGAGAGAACAAACCAGCTTTCAAATGAAGAGAAAATTATGAAGGTGGATGGGACATATATGACAGAAATCACCAAACTCCATCAGGAGACAAACGCTAACTTGGAATCCCGAACGTAAACTAAACGGGGAAGGCCAAAGAACACACTGCGTCGAGAATTGGAAGCAGGCATAAAAACGATCAGTAGCAGATGAAAGAACTGGACAGGACTGCTTAGGAGAGAGTTGGATGGAAAACGCCGTTGAGTGGCCGATGCTGCTCCATAAGGAGCAACAGGCGTAAGTAAAAAGTAAGTAAGTAACTCGTAATAAGACCACAATCAAGTACAAAGGAGTCACCAGTTAGTACAAGTACTGTAGTAGCATTGGACCATAACCACACAATCCTCAAAGCTGAACACAAGACAACTCAGGAAATAGATATTCATTATTTAACACGGAGAAATACCTAACGATGGAAAATGCGGGAAGAATGATTTAAACTAATCGGAGTTGGTCGATTGGCATGGCTCGGCCATACAGGCGTGGTCCCTGCGGAATATTACCTTATATCTTTTATTCATATATGGATCCCAATCCCACACGATTTTTGTCCAAACCCATGTTCATCTTTGTTAGACTTGGTGATCACTCATGCGACTGGGGATATTGCCAATCTAAATATTTTTCCTCCGTTAGCGAATAGCGATCACGCCGTTTTGCCATTCACGTTTAGAGCTCGCGTCATTTTATACGATCAGGTTAAGTCTCGCTCAAATGCATAGAAGGTAAACATACCAGCTATTCAGGAGTACACTGACAAGATGGATTAGTCACTAGATACCAGCTCAACAGCTGAAGACGCATGGTTTATATTTAAGGGCAGGCTTAGTTCGGTTAAGTCCTCGTTTACACCACGCCTACCACCACGTACACCGAATGACTGTCCATCTTGTACAACTATACAAGTCAAAAAATTTCTTAGACGTAGGAAAAAGTATCGAACGTATTCATCTCTTTTGGCTTAGAACAGCACAGATTCAGATATTGTAAGACGGAGAATGCTTGTAAAGCGTTGGTAAAAATACTCGCCAGTCATATGAAAAGTAATTGGTTAGGGATTGTAAAAATAGTCAGAAACGGTTATTGTCGTGCATAAAAAGGTAAACCCCGAGAAGTGATGGAATCCCATCACTTTTGGTACGAGAAAATCCGTTAATATTGGCAAGGGATGATACCGAAAAAGTTGCAGGTTAATCAAGCTATTTTGGTAGTGTTTTTTTATGTGAATGAATTACCAGCTGTAGCAAAGTCGTTCTGTAGTGTCGGTTACTGTGTTAAGCCCACATAACTTACTCTGGCCTCTGGACAGGCCAATTTATACGTCCTTTTTGAGTCACGTTTTGACCTTGTTAATTATTCACATATCAACCCTGAATGTTTTTATATGAGCGTGTGTGCACATATCCTACTAATTACATATCTACAGTTTATTTTTGGGTGACTATAAATAGTGATTAACGCTTGAGTAAATCGAGTTGGCTCACAAGCCTTTTCCACTGCGCTTCCTTTCGCTTCACTTTGCTTAGTCCCTCTGATTGTCTGTCCAGATCAATGAGTGTACAAAATATACATATTCAAAACTTCATTCTCGTATTTGACTTATTTAATTCCGCTACTCACCAATGCGATTTGAGTCTATAGTTATGTACGAGAATAGCCAAGATGTGTATTTTGACGACAGCCGTTCATACAATATAACTGGAGTCAGGTCACGGGCCCCAAAAGTCTGTCCTACTTTTCGCCTAGGACATAAAGATTTGGAGGCCCATAAACAATAAATCAGATAGAGTAGTGTTACAGAATGATATCAATTCATCGGGGGCATGAATGGACGAATGGTCATCAGAAGAATGTTCTGACAAGATTGTGGTAGTGCAATTAAATAGCTATGATGATTCGTATCACTACGCAATTCATGGAGTTGTGTTACCCAAAGTAATGAACTATAAAGATTTATGTGTCATGATAAGTAGCAACTTAAAAACTACAGGCAATCGCCGCTACCAGAGGTTCTAGGGCATTATGGGCTATTGGTTGGTCTTTTTAGTGCTCAGACGAAGAAATTTTTAGTGTTATACCGCATTTGGAATATGGGATTCAAATAGCGAGTCCATGTTTCAAGTATGAGGCTGATATACTGGAACGAAACCGACGACGAGGGACTCACATGATGAAAGGCCTCCCGCTTTTACCAATAACACCTTCTAATATAACTTGTACCCACCAAAAGAAATCAAAAGACAGAATCGACGAGATCAGAAGTTGTATTTGACGATTGCCAATATATCGGAATTGTCTGATCTAGTCTGGCTAGCTCAGTAGTCGGGATCGAATTGTCTACGTCTGGAGTTTCGTTTCTCGCATCAAGTAGTGAATCACTGGAATTCTCTACCAGACTTCGTAATATCAGCACCTTCTGTTGATATTTTCAAAATGAGATTGGACCTTCACATTGCTACAATTAGAAAGGACAAATGTATGTCAGCAGACCTCTTATCCTTATTACTGGAGGTTGAAATAGCCTGATGATTTTCGCTCAATCGGTTTCAGAATTTGCTTTCATTAGCACTTATACGAAAACTGCGTTACTGCGCATCATGACTCCAAGGTCAGCTGCTGAGTCAAAACAATTGCCCCCAGAGGTACTATGCTTACTCCATAAGTCTGATCTCAGTGCAGATGACTTAAGGAAAATTTATAACTATGCTCAAGCTAATCCAGTGCATCTCAGCCACCACATAAGTCGTCTGGAAGTATTATTGACCAAACTAATTAATCCTGTGGAATGTAGTTGTTCAAGCAGAAACTCTGTGCATTTCGACTTTGCCTGCAAAAATGTGGAATACGATGAAATGCTCCAGCTTTCCGCCGCATGTTTCTCCTTAATCCCATTTTCAAAATTCTCCCCTCAGCGTCTTCAGGAGTTCCAGTTACGTCTATCCAAATGCCTTTGTGACTCATTGTCCTGCCTCTTCGGAATTCATGGTTTGCCTCACGTAACTTTATCGACCGTTCAAGCGTATCTAAATTCGAAGGTAGACGATTTTTCATGTATTATTTCAGTAGACAAAATCAAAAAGCTACCTGACGACTTCTCCAAGTTGCTGATTATGCGTGTTGATTTTCTCACTTATTGCTTACGTTATATCTTCACGCGTGATTCTCCAATGCACATCAATTTTTGCTTACCTATGTTTGTTTCCATATTTAATGGTTTTTTCGAAGTAAGATTGACGGACGTGGCTAATATGCCAAGTAGTCTGCTAAAAAGTTCTAGTCGTCTCATGTTATGTTTAGATACAATGTGTCAAGCTGTTGGTACAGTAATCATGCCCGCTGTTCCTTGCTTGTTAACTCTTGTCACATACCACTTAGAATGGACTGCGAGCTGGCGAGTTGAAAGTAAAAATATGGAGTATTTTGTGCGCCTGCGTTTGGCAGCTTTTTCTTGTTTACTCCATCTCACCACTGCGAGTTTAAAGTTTTCGTACGCCTATTTTATGGAAATGATACCACGAATATTTTCTCAGTTGGTGTATGATTTACGAGGATTTCTTTCTACTTGTCAATGTACGTATCCAATCACATCCACCAATGCTGTTTTCAATAATGACCATCCGAAACCTCAAGTAACTTCACTTGGACTGTTTGAAAAGCGTATGCTGTTGGCGATCCTGCTCCTGGTTGAATATATTTTTAAAGACCCAGGAGTTCTGCGCTATATCGAACTCTCCAAAGCAATAGATTCCAGTTGCACGACTGGTAAGGAAAATCCCTCAAGTCATACACCTGTTCATAACGAAGTGAACAGTCTTCTAATCTGTATAACCAGCTTACTCTCACATATAAACGTTGTTCTTAGTTATGGAGTGTCTCATACTCAGCGGCAGAAAAAGATCAGTACCATGAATTTAGTCAGTCCACCCCTGTTAATTGCTTTAGCAAAAGCTTCTTTTGCATGTGCCATGTCTACTCGTAGTCAAACGTTTCATGTCACTGTTCGAAGATTCTTCGCCAACCTCACGAAACATTCAGACAGTGTGGTAAGTTTAATCGCACTAGGTAATTACCATCAACTATGTGGTGTAAATATCAGCAGTTCCGTCAGTCACGAAGATTCAGAGATATGTAGAAACACTCTGTCAAGTAATCAACTTACTCCTCAAACGAAGCTTGTCTTACCCGATGAGAAATATAATGTCGTCGAATATACTTCGGAAGTATGTTCTTCAATTAAGATTTCAAATCCCGAACAGGAGGGACCTCCCGTCAAGCGCCTTCGAATTACGGAGTCACATACAGTTGCACAAGCTACTGAGATATGTTCAAATGCCAGCTGTGGTGCTTTAGAAGCTGACGTCCCACCTAGAATTCAACAAGAGAATTTGCCGTTATCTGGTGGGCGAAACGTTCTTGCATCAGAGGATATAGACAGTTTTCTGACCACTTTTGATCCGACTTTTATGTGATTCTTTGATACTTTTACTTCCATCCATCCTCTGTAAATAAAACGCTGTTATTGTTTGGTTAAAAGAATATTAAGAATAATTCAATATGTTTATCCTCTCAGCTATGGCAATGCGTAAATCGTTACATCTAACTTGAGAAGTCGCTTGCAAGTTCTCCGTCTTACTAACTGTCTTTTCTGTGGCTTTTGTTTAAGTCATGAAAAACGTATGTATGTTTCCTGCCAAATAAGCATATTGCACAACAACCAGATTACTTAACTGACATTTCGGTTCCACCTCGTTACATAATTATAATACCGCATTTGATTTAAAAACTTAAGTTCAACAAACGTTACTATTGTGTGTAGGCAATAACGAGTTCAGATAATGTTTAAGAGAGCTATGTATTAATTATATGTATTGTTTGATTGTTCCTAACAAAGAATGGCACAAAGTACAAGTCACAGAATAAACAACCATAATAGTAAAGTGCTAATCGCCTATGTTAAAGTTATTGCATTTGTTGTGTCGATTTAATAATCAAACGTCAAAAACTTCTGTTGGGTTTTGCGACCATGATCACAGGTTTGTGGAACCTCAACCCTGATCCTTTATATCAAGTTTTTACTTCTAAGTGATCAAGTCACAGTCCCGTTCCATACCTCATTACTTCCCTACTTCGTTCCTTACATCATTCTCATCGTTAGTCTATACTACATCAACCCACCAGGTACTTAGAAACAACCCACATGCTAAGGGTGAGGGATATTATATTGACTGACCATACAAACTGAATTAACATTAATCTACACTCACCACCGTTCTCCAGATGTGTAAGACATTTTAGTAATTCAAGCTGTTCGAACGTGAAATTCAAAATCAGAAAAGTATGTTGTGTTTTTGACACATACAAACAGAACTAAGCTATGGTTATCCACTTAACCTCACCTCTATATCGTGGTGACCCCAAACGATTAACTCCTTGGTTATCTGAATATTCAATACCGACATGAGTAGATATGGAATTAAGCTTGAAAACAAACTATTCATCTGTGAACTGTCTCTTAACAGTTACATTTGCATTTCCAAACTGATTGCCACTTCATGAACTGAAAAGCTCGATATATTATGTATTACCTGTTGTTTAGAATCTTTCTATACTTTTGTTGGACATAGTTTGAAAAAAATAAAGGGAAGTTTCTGTCAGCAGCTTCCATATTTACATAAGGACAGACGAACAAGTGAAATGCATCAGGACTAAGTCAAACAGGAAATACTAGTGTGGAGGGAAAGTCTAGTCTCCACTCTGTTTCGAAACAATGGTAAATACTGGTCACAAAATGCTATGTTGGAACGGCTGTCAGTGCTATTGATAGGTGTATCCCCAATATGTTTAATGGATGTAGTAGATGAAGACAAACGATACGAAGTTTCAAATTATAAAGATATCAGGCTACTCCGGAGAAAAAAAATCAGTGGTTATACCAGACTTATATACTAAAATGATGGGTGTAACACTGCAACAACAAAGGGCCCTTTATTCTCTTTTGCCTACCAACAACTTCGATAAATTACTCGCCTAAAGTTGTGATGCGTGGGCGAGATCGACTAGTTGTTTGCTTACTCAGACTTGTAGACAGATGAGTTATATATTCTCCTGTTATTATTGTTGGGTTGTGTCGGTTTTTGGTGTGGAAATATATTTAAGTTCCAGTCAGGCTAATCACGTGTTTTTTTTATCTGAGTTGTGTTGAAGTGTAGATATTCGTCTGAGGCAGATGAACGTCTCAAGATGCGGAAAACCGACCGTCATAACAAGACTCCAGTTTTAGCAATGTAAAACGTTTCTAGAGGTCTTTGTTGCGATAAATGAAGTGTGGGAAAAGTTGGAACAATCCGGATTATTCATATTTTTGTTGTGTAATTAGTAGGTAACTTTGCCATAATCTCTTTATTGTAAACTCCCAGTCAACCTATCAATTATTATGCCTTTCACTGTTCCTCAGTTATTGCTAATTATTCATACACTGTCTGCTCCGCTTTCTGTCACTTATAACATAACTGTCTAAAGTATGCTTTATGGTCTGGTAATTAATTTATGTAAGCCGAGTGTTTCAGGTAGCTGTTGTGCCAGCGGGCTCGGCTAGGTTGTTGAAAACTTCTCTTAAAACTCAAGACTGGGATCTTAAGGAGAGGTAGAGTAGCAGAACTTAACGGGCTAACTCCAAAGGATTTTGAAAAAAAGAGTCTGAAGTTGTTAATAAAACTGACTTCTTTTGTGCATTCACAGCAAGCTCATCTAGTCAGCCAGTCGTTATTAGTTCCGGTCGACAAGAAGGAATCATAGTCTCATTGCAATATGTTAAGCATCTAAAATTCTAGACAACGCATTAGCATAATACTTAACCGAAGCTCAGAAATATGAGGTAATTTCGTCGTATCTACTAGCACTGAGCAAAGTATGGACCATTAGAGGACTGTAGATTCTAGCTGCTTCTTGATCTGAAGGCGATACGGGAAGTTACTAACTGAGACCCCCTGTAATAATAAAGTGTTCAAAGGGCCGTAAACGGAAGCTTCTTATACGAATACTCATGGTCAGATTGTCTTGCGGTAAATTAACATCTGGGTTTTTTACTTCAGTTAGCATTGTTCGAAGTTGTCCACCCTTCATGTTTTTATTCAACTTTGTCATAAATAAACTACGAGTAATCACCTCTCTGCTCTCCTTGATTTGTTTAACCCAGAATTATTGATTGATGCAGAGCGATCATTAAAAGATCAAAGTAGGATGTCAGAGAGGCAGAACAGTCCCATCTCTGTAGCATCCTTGATTAGGGTTAGGTTACCAATCACTTCTGTTTACGTTTATTCTCTTCGCCCCTATGTAGCTGCAATAAATTACAAAAATACATTGGTAATACTATTATGTATAATGGTCTTTTTCGCCTGGAACTAAGCTGCCGTACAATATTGCAATGTTTTCAGCCTTTCTAACACATTAGACAATCAGATGTCTACAACCTTTTATCGAGTAAATATCATTTGCACAAGTGAATGATGACTTGGAATCACGCAACTGAATACAGTGCTCTTAGACTAAAATACGACTTACTGAGTTCCAGCCTGTATATACGCGGAAGAAATAACGGTTACAATCAATATATGTATATTTCTGAGACGAGTTAAAACTTGTTTGGTGAAGTATGCATGCAATAAATAAGTCTAAAGTTCACAGGAACAACACAAGTATTTCATTTATGAGCAAAGCAACAGTAATAAGAACGAAACAATACGAAATGAGTTGTTCAATGAAAAGATGCATCTTCTTTAATTAAGATGATCTTCAATTAATTATCAATAGTAAGCAGTCGTACATCTACACCAAATACTTCCAGCATATATCCCATTAGTGTCTTTTGTTCTCCAGAGCGAACTGATTCCACAAGTTTACAAACTCTGTTCTTTAAATTACGTTGTCTACAGAGGGCATGAAGGCATACTGCTGATTTTAATCACTATAGTTATTTCACATTGAAACTTACTTAGTACTGGAACAAGTAGAACACAAAAGAAAAAGATGATTCCGGATATGAAACGAATCAGTAACATGGCGATGACAATACATACAGGTACAAGTATCTTTGGTTGGTTAATAGTGTTAAGGGTTTGTGTATCTAAAAATAGGAGGATCATCAAGGGTAAGCATATCACAAGAAGTCCTGTTATAACGGGAATGGGATTAAGCGCGCTATAAAAAACATTTTAGAAACTTAATTATGTATTACCTCAGTAACATTATTATAACTAAGCTTAACAAAAAGTAATTCGACTGATAATAAATTAGATTTGAAACCATTCGTCCATTCCATTTACATTCTTTGGGTATACTGTATCGAGCGCCAAAGCCTAAAAAGTCATTGAAAGATCGTAAAGGTACTGAACGCATCTAGGTTATGTTCGCAAAAGTATTAAAGTCTGAAAAAGAAATGTAACACAGAGACGTTATGGAAATAACCAAACATTGAAATTAAAAAAAACTAGTCCTGATAAATTTAGATGATGTAATAAAATCACTTTGTCAAAACTATGTAATATATTAGCACAATACATTTTGAAGTCTGACCACATATTCATTTGTTACGAAATTTATATATGGAAAAATGAAGGTCAACTGGGAGGGAATCAAAGGTAATAAGGACAACAATGTGGATTACATTACACATCCGTCTAACTTATCCTACAATTATCTGACCAACCTTTGATCTTCACACATAAGTCCTCTAACAAGCATATGTGCGGTCAGATTGCTAAAAATGTACTATCTTAATACACTTTTTAGTTTCCATGAACTTTGTTCTACCGCTGCCTTATCTAGACAATAAAATACACTTATTTTTCTTAATTAAAAGACATTTTTACATTATTAATAGGTCCTCATAAATATTAACATATGTAAAATGTTTGCTACATATTTTCTGACTCTGAACGACTTTCTTTGTTTTCTGAACCCTCAATGTTTATTTTATATGCTAGTTCTTCCGTAAATGTATACTTTATGAAACTGCTTTTTCCACTGTTTGCTAATCAATAATCACAAAAGCTATTTGGATACTTTACCATAAATCTATTTGTCTATGATAGTTCATGAAAAATATGAGGTTGTGATCTTATGTTCCTCAATTGAATTTCAAACCAAATTGACCAGTTACAGTTCTGTGCCTTTAATTATCTTAATGTGAAATTTGAAATATACTGCTACACATAAATCGGTGAGTTTAACGGAACCATGATTCTTAACCTTTTGTATTTATAAAGATCTGTATTGCTGATGAGGAGCAAGAATACGATGTCTCTTACTTCCCCTGTTTTAACTGAAGCGAATAAGACTGTGTCGCCAAAGGTTAACATCAACTTCTTTCACTTGATTTGAATGTCTTTAACCATATCCGCAGATTATATGGGAGGTATAGAAGACTGATCGCATGAATGTACCACAGGTTGCGATGTTAATTTCTTAGTGACAGATGTAGTGCCTGGGTCCCAAGAAGTAAGATAATTGGCTGTATTGAAGTTCTTTGTCTTGCGCAGTTTCAACCTACTATAGAAGCCCATTGTTTTTCACTTGTTACTGGTCTTGTTTTGGTATCTGTTATACTTCGATTAATATTTTTAAAGTACTAATGGTCTGATTATCGCATTTTTTAAATTTGATTTACGTTTACTGGTTGGTACATATTTTTATCCTTAATCACTTGCGAAGATACTCCAGTACCTCACTTCTATATGAAGTTTATGTTGATTTCGTCCAGAAAGACAGTAAAAGCTTCGAAATTAAATAACTCATCTTATTAAACGTAGCTGTACGAAGACTATATTCATAATTTACAATACTTGTTGGTACATCTACAGTCCCTCGGAAATCTTCACATTTTGGAAGAAATAAAGGATAAATACTACGCAGTTGTTAAAAACCGTTGAATTAACACTGTAACAAACAGTATATGACTTTATTTGTTGTAGATGATGACCTTGCAATATAAGTAAATCATCAAAAAATAAATAAACGCGTCTGTAGTTTCGGATTGCGTCTGAACTATGGAAATTTGGTGAACGTTTAGAAAATGTGGGCCGAACTTCTAAAGTCTGCAAATTCTTTAAAGTTACTTGACCATTTCTAGCTACCGCATATACTTACAAAAAAGTCACTCTAAGAGAGGACTTTATACACTTTTTTAAAATAGTTCACAACTGTAGATTAAGGCTTTTAAATATTAAAAAGCCATTATATATGAAGTGACAATACACTTGGCCAGAAATATAGACTATAACCCACCCCTCGGGATAACAAATGAAGTCCTTTCTTAAGTTAGCGTGGCAATGAATACCATGACCACCCATTATTAAACGCTGAACATTTAAGGCTATAGTTATGAGGAGCAATTTGCTACCAAAGGAACAGTCGAGTAAAACACAATAACAGGCTTTGACAGACACCAGTTTGTCGGATTTTATATAGAACGTATAAAAATATTAACTAATTGGTGATGAATCACATGCAAGACTTCTTCGAGGGTGGAAATATTCGTTGACCTACAGCGCATTCTCACCGCCGTTTCAGAATAAATAATTTTATGTTAACTGCACTTCTTTTAAAAAGCTCCGACTGACTTTAAGACAATAATGGATGGACTGAATCTGCAATAAAAATATAGTTTGTTATTATTATTAAGAGTCATAACCGCAGTAAGTGCATTTAAATGCCAATGAATTTCAGCCCCACGGATTTTTATGAGCTTAAAACAGCTCAATTGTTGGCTATGTATTTCAACGGTGCTTATCAAAACGTCCTCATGACATTTAATAACACCTAAATGTGTCAGCATCTTAATTAAACTAGTCAATTACGACTAGCTAGTCGTAATTCATTCGCATAACTGTTTCATGTTAACGCACCCGTAAAAATAAACAAAAATTTTAGACAGTAAGTTGGATGGCCAAACTGACGTCAAATGTTTAAAAAATTTGTAGTCAAACAGATGCATCTACACAGAACCCGTTAGCTCACAACGTTACGCACTAATTATACGCAGCGGGATGTACTGTCCAATCAGTTTCAGATTGGAAAAGACAAGAGGCTGGATTACTTGTGTTAGTCCTGGTAATAGTGGTCTCTCGGTTGATCTAACTGTTTTTCGAAAGCGTTGACAGATTGGGCATCAATTACGTTCAACTGGTTGTGGACGGAATAGAAGAAGCTTTCACTTAACGGGCATCCGTGTCTAGTAGCAGGGGATCACCAATACCTCCAGGCAGGAACCTACGTATATTAACGATAATAAAAGAAAAAGAAATTGAAAAATCACGGTAAGATATTATCCTTAGTCCTTAAGAATATGTCAAGATTCCTCTTAAAGGACTCCTGAGAAGTCGCATGGAGTAGCCCAGTCGACAGAGAATTCCAGCATTTGACAACTCTTAAGGAGAAGTTGCGCCCACAGTCCGTTTTGCTGTGTTGTGTCTCTAGTTTCTGGGTGTTTCTTCTCAGGTATATGTTGGAGCTAAACTTAAGTAGGTGTTTAAGGGGATGTCCAGAAGTGTTAAGGGTGCTGTAAGCCATTAGGAGGTCACCTCTAAGACGTCTATATACTAATGTGTAATGGTTCAGTGATTGGAGGCGCTCTTCGTAAGGCTTGAATTTGATTCCCCAAACTGATTTCTTGGATCGCCGTTGGATACGATCCAGAGTGTCCTTATCCTTTTGGAGTGAGGGGAGAAATACTATGTTTCTATATTCTAAATGGGGACGTATAAAACTGTTGATGATCATATGGAAAATTCTACCGTCAAACTGGCCAAAAATGCGCTTCAATGTTACCAGTGCAGGGTTCGCTCGAAAGGCATTTTTGTCACAGTTTACGTAAGACTTCAAGTCGTAGGATGCCAGAACCCCTAAATCTTTATCAACTTGGGATACTTCTAGAGAGGAGTTTTCTACGTTGTGACTGTAGTCTGCAACATGTCTCAGATGGACTACTTTGCACTTTGAGTGTTAAAGGTAGGTCAGTTGTCGTCTGCACGACTTCAAAGTCGAGTCAGATCTTCCTGAAGTGTTGTAGTGGCATTGAACAATAACCGCACAATCCACAAAGCTGAACACGAGACTACTCAGAAAATAGATATTCAATATTTAACGCGGATAAATACCTAACAATGGAGAAGGCGCGGAGAATGAATTGAATGGACTGGAGTTGATCGAGTGGCATGGCTCGTCCATGCAGACGTGGTCCACCTTAGTGTTACTTCATATCTTCTATTCATATTAAATATATTGTTCTTTCTCTTGCCTAACCTTGTTCCTCATCATGTATTGGTAATTGATACGATACAGTGAGTTGGTGTAGTCGATGGTGTGACTTCCACGTAAGATCTTATAGATTAGGCAGTTATATCATGACAAATCGACAAGTTTAGGATTAGGTTTATTATTAGAGCAGTACTAATATCATAGTAGACCGTAATTCTACATTGGTGAGCCCAACTAAAGAAACGCAACCTATTATTATTAATCCTTATTTCCACTTCAACTTTCTCGATCGATTTTATATTTATGTTAACCCTGTATTCTAATAGTCCTCTGATTAATGCTCACATGAATTATCGTAATGTTATATTGATTAGTCCTCATGACAAACTAGCTCAATCGATAATAAAAACTGGTCGTCTATATTAACTAATTAGCTTTGATGGTTTGTTAACAAGCTGTAATAGCATTTACATGCTTCAGCGACATAGTCTTGTTTAAACATCAAGCTCTAGCAAATATGACCTGTAAATAACGCAAATATACGTTGACCAACAATGCAATCAAGGATTGAATAGTTATCTAGATCTAATTCTTAGTGTTCCTTCACTTAACACCTCATCCTGTTTTAAACGATGCACTATCCTGTAATATCTTTTCTTCCGACCACTGCCTGCCTAATTTCATATTCTCGAGTTCCATTGCCAAACAACGAGGATGACTACTCCAAAAACATACGGTGAGTTTCAGCTATAAGTTTTCTGCAATCATAAGGTCATTTTAGATGGCTCGTTCAATAACAACCATACAATTAACTGAATTCATTCGATTGTTCTAATCGGAGCGAGTGGCAGAAACGTCAACACCATCAAACACCCTGGAATTAATTGCCATACTGCATGTTTTATTCTGGATACTTTTGGATCATTACTACTCCTCACGAATGGCGTTATATATGTCGTCCACTGAATAATCTAATTTTTAGAAATAATCCAGGCGAGTTCAACTATCTTACTTAATGATTATTTGTACTGAACATATATATGTTTTCCAGTTGCTTTTGCCATATATTTGTAAGTGTCCCTAGTCTGAATGCAGTAACTTCTTATGGAATGTTTATAACGCATCATATTCCTGCCTGAAGTTTCACAAGCAGTCTTAACTTTAAAATTATTTATCTGATCATGTTCATTATTTTTAAATTGTCATATACGTCAACAACCTGCATGTTAACCTGGCCCGTACATACGTTTTACTATATCTTCATGTCTTTGGAATTTAGAAATCATCTGAATAGCCTTTAACATTTATCAATAAACCCATCATATTTGTTGTTGCTAATCGTATTTGGGTTTATGGATTGGTTTATCACATTAGCAGCCTAAAATGCGAACATAGTTTAGATAATAAGATTAAAAATTTAGATACTATCAACTGCACTAGTGAAATAACTAAATCCCCAGGTAGCTGTTGGCTAAACAAACGTTTAAAATCAAAACTCCGTAGCCTACTAAAATTAGCACTAAACGAATATTTCTGAATTGAAATTTATAATTAAATTAGGCGTCTCGGATTCTTTAACGTTATAAGTTTCTGATGATTTCGAATCACCTAAAGCAACAATACCTATTTTTCCACTGACTAATCCTCAATCAACACTATAACTAGTTAAACGTAATAGTTTCAGAATATCGTCATAAAGCATTGTCATGACTTGACAATCATGTAATATGACTGATAAAATTAATGAAACTTTTAACGAAATCGGTCAACAAATTGACTTATAATTATCACTAGTGTTGTTTTTCTTTTATCTTCATTCACTACAGATGATTACAGTATGTTTCTCTATCAGATGCTCACTCAGTAAATATCTCGAAACCTTGTCAGTCTAATTGATGGTTTAGCGACACAATCATGCATGCAAATAATCAGTATAAGCAGTCGAGCAAATCTCCTGCAAACTGAAAACATCAATGTCGAATTTACCCCAACACTGACTAAGGTTCAAGCCATCATCATAGACATGAGTTAGGAGTGTACTCCCCTTGGTTACAACTTATCTTCTCCCTGATAATCACATGAGCATCACTCACTATTAATCATCTTGTAAAAACCTATTTTGCCAAATACATCTTGCAGCACCACACCACTTAGTAATATGACACATAAGCCTAACTGATTTTAATAACTTATAACCACTATATCTCAATTAAATCGTATTCCGCCTTATGATAAACTGCATACTTGCAACTAACCTGTATGCCCAATCAGTCAGCAAGTATAAATATAAATAAATAGTCTGCCGCAGATCAGAACATTGAGTCTAGAGCATGTCTCTTACGAATACACTCATGTTTAACGATTTGTTCCTAGCTATCTGTCCAAAATTCATATGACTATCATTCATGCATTTAAATTTTGTTTGGATAACCATTCATGTGTATTAGTAGTATTACTAAATTCTATCACGGTCAAGTAAAAATGAGGTTGAGAAAATCTCCCCGTAACTAAATAAACCGTATCAAACTAACAGGAACACTAGTTGGAATTCTTCTCCACGTTAATACTTTTGTTCTTCCAGTTAGCCTACTAATACAGATGCAAGTGGAAATCACATGGACGGGTTACCGGCATAATTGGTAATTGGTTTCATAATTTAAACCAAAACTAATACCAATATTAACATTTCTACAATATTCATTACTTTAATATTTCTACATACAAAATACTTACTACCTATACGTTAAGTTATTAACCAACGGCTATTAACACGCATTGTTTTATTATTATTATTGTAATCCCATTTCTAATAGCTCAAATAATCTTCACCCAAATTGTCATTTTAAGTGTGTTAAGCATGAAGGCAGATTTTTTTTAAAAAATTATTACATGTATTTCCCGACCAGATGCTGCCGCCTTCTTTTTGATTTATCTTTCAGCTTATCATTACCCGGGGGATTCTTCCTAGTCTTGGTAACCTTCGGCGCACGACGATCCCATCCAATTTGGTATCGAACCAACATCACGTTGATTCTGGTGGGAGAGTAGTGTAGTGGCATTGAACAATAACCGCACAATCCACAAAGCTGAACACGAGACTACTCAGAAAATAGATATTCAATATTTAACGCGGATAAATACCTAACAATGGAGAAGGCGCGGAGAATGAATTGAATGGACTGGAGTTGATCGAGTGGCATGGCTCGTCCATGCAGACGTGGTCCACCTTAGTGTTACTTCATATCTTCTATTCATATTAAATATATTGTTCTTTCTCTTGCCTAACCTTGTTCCTCATCATGTATTGGTAATTGATACGATACAGTGAGTTGGTGTAGTCGATGGTGTGACTTCCACGTAAGATCTTATAGATTAGGCAGTTATATCATGACAAATCGACAAGTTTAGGATTAGGTTTATTATTAGAGCAGTACTAATATCATAGTAGACCGTAATTCTACAGTGTCAGTATGTCCTCTTTGGTGCATATCTCTCTCCAAAGTTTCACATCATTAGCAAAAAGTATTAAGTCTGACGATACCTATTGTGGAAGATCGTTTATATAAATCAAGAAAAGAAGAAGTCCTAGTACTGAACCCTGAGCAACCCCACTAGGACATTCCATAGCCTGGGTGAAAGTGAAATCAACCCTGACCTTAAAATGTCGATTTTTCAGATATGAAGTGAGCCGGTCAATTAGAAGTGGTTTGATACCCAATCGTTTGAGCTTAGTGATAAGATATAAAGTAGTTGACTCTGTCAAGTGCTTTTCAA